GCCCAGGCTATGGTAGGTGTTCAATAACTACCCGATGCCTGACAAGGAGTCGGTTTCCCTGTCTGTGCGGTGTGTGACAATAGAAGGCTCTCTTCATCCCACCCACCCCTCCCCCATTTTTTAGCACTGGTCTGGGTTTGAACCTGATCCTGCTTTGGGCAAGCTGTGGACCCCAGAGGGCCCCTTCAGTTCTGTGAACCAGACAGGATGAGGTCCTCTGGGGTGGCTGTTTTGTATTCTCGTGTGGTGGCAGTACCTGGCACATAGTTCAGGCTCTTGGTGTGTTTCTGGAACTTTTATGTTCTGCCCCCAACTCTGAGCCCCAGTCCTGTCCCCCAGATGGGGGTGCGGGGTGGCTGATCACAGCTCTGGGGACAGGAGTGGTATGTGGCTGCAGCTCTTCCCTGGGGAGCGCTCTGGCCGGCTGCACCTTCACCAGGGGCCCTGGGCTCTGGCATGTCCACATCCTTGGCTGTGGCTCCACCACCATTTTGGGACACTTTACGGGACCCACTTGGAGCCAATGGGAGGAAACCTAATTTCCTGCCACAGGAAATTGTTTGGCTAGCGAAGAATATATTTAAAGATTAAAACCTTCTGTCAGAAAAGCTTGAGGGAGTTGCTGGAGAAAGAYGTTTGAGGGTCTCTTATTAGGAAGCCACTGGGTGTGGGAAGAGATGGAGGCTGTGACTAGCGGGGAGGCCCAAGGCCGCCTCCTGGGACTGTACTCTCAAAACTCCAGCAGCTGGTCTTGGACTGGCTTAGAGAAAGAGTGGGTCAGAAATAGACCCTTTTCTGCAACTAAGCATGTTTATGGTAACATTAGCTCAGAATTAAGACTCATTTATTGGACTTACTTAGTGGGCCCGGTGCCCTGTAAGGCTGGGAGGGTGTACTCCGGACACATCAGCTGTACTAAATCCAGCAGCTGGAACTCCCTATTCACTATTATTATCTTGCTGAGCATTGGTATGTATTTTGAGTGGGACCGGGAGGAAGAAGGAACAGCACCAGGGTTCTGGGCCCTGGCAGCCAGACTCCGAACCAAGAGGGGTTGTTACTGATGCAAAAGAAGGGAATGAGATGCCCTTCCTGTCATGAGAGTTTGATGGCTCAGAAGCAGGAGCATGGACCAGATGACTTCTAGAAAATCCCGCCAAGTCAGCCTGGTGGTCATGAGCTCAGGAGCAGGAGAATAAGATTGTGCCTGTGTCCTACATCAGGACCCAGCCTGAAGCCAGAGAGGCAGCCCTGGTGCAGACTGCTATGTGGCCTGGGATTTGAGCTTTGCCTCTTGGATGTCCGAGGGGTTCAGAGAGGGGCCTTACTGACCACACRGCATGGCAGTGGGGGTGCCGCCAAATAAAGGACACGTAGGGGAGGCCTCTCTTCATGATCCTCCTAATTGTGCACTCAGATGGCCAGAGTGGGGAGGAAAATAGTATCTTTGAACACCTACTGTGTACCTTACTTTGTCAGGCGCCATTGTAGTAACGAGGCAGCAGCAGTTACTCAAAGTCACGAGGCAGTTGCTGCTGTGCATAGCCTCCTCACCCTGCCAACCGCTTTAAAGGGCTTTCTGCAAAGAGTATTGCTTAGCCCTCCTGCCAGTCCACTGAAAGTGAAGCCCTAAGACTCAGACAGCAGGTGATCTGCTCAGCTTCACGTAGACAGTGAGCGCAGCGGCTGTATTCAAATCCAGGTGTGGCCCTTGCCTTTTTAAAGAAATTGTGATATAATTTGCAAGTGAACTGCCCACATTTAAAATATACAGTTTGAAACAGATACAGTGGCGCATACCTGTAATCCCAGCGGCTCAGGAAGCTGAGGCAGGAGGATTGCAAGTTCAAAGCAACCCTCAGCAAGTTATCGAGGCCCTAAGCAACTTAGCGAGACCCTGTCTCAAAATAAAACATAGGGCTGGGGTTGTGGCTCAATGGCAGAACGCTTGCCTAACATGTGTGAGGCACTGGGTTCAATTCTCAGCATCGTGTCAATAAGTAAAATAAAGGTCCATTGATAACTAAACAAATTTAAATATATATATATAACATATATATTATATATATTTAAATATATATTATATATATATTTAAATATATATTATATATATATTTAAATATATATTATATTATAAAAGGGCTAGGGATGTGGCTCAGTGGTTAAGCACCCCTGAGTTCAATCCCTGGTACCAAAAAAGAAAAGAAAAAAATACGCACACACATAATTTGATAAATTGACATGTATATACCTATACAACTACCACTTTGGTCCTTCATCCCTCCCTCCCCTGCACACGCCCTCTCCCCTGCCTGGGCAACTGCCAATCTGCTTTCTGTCACTGTGGAACAGTTTGAATTTTTGCTTTACTTTAAATTACTCTATAATTTTACATAAACAGAATCGTGCCTGGCTTCTTTTCAGTCAGCACAATCAGTTTTGGATCCATGCACAGTGTCACATGTATCAACGGTCCTTTCTTGATTGCCGAGGGGTGTGCCTTTGTGTTGACCCCATCGGATGCCAGTCCTTGGACATGCGCTTTCAGTTCTCTTGGGTAAATGCTGAGGACTGGGGGCATCTTAGGGTGCGTTTACATTTTGACTCCTGAACTGTTTTCCCCACTAACCGTCTCTCTACCCCACCATTGAGGTTCTGGAGTTCCCGCTGCTCCACCTCCTCACCAACAGGTGGCATAAACAATCCTTTTAATTTCAGGTATTCTGATAATGGTGTGGTAGCTCATTGCAGCTTTAATTTGCACTTCTCTAATGACTAATGATACAGAACATCTTTTCATGTGCGTATTTGGTAGCTTTTTTTGTATAGCATCTTTTAAAAATCATTTGCTGCTTATTTTAAAATTGGTTTCTTTTGAGTTTTTGGAGCTCTTTATTCTGGAAACAGGTCCTTTATCAGATACTTGCTTTGCAAATATTTTCTCCCAGTTGGCTGCCCATCTTTTTTATTCTCTTAATAGTATAGTGTCTTTCAAAGATCAGAGGCTTAAATTTTGATGAAGTCCAACATCTCAGCTTTCTTTTTGATGGATTGTGCTTTTGATGCAGTACTGGAAATATTTGTCTGTTCCAAAGTTTTGTAATTTTCAGCTTTCCACTGTGGCCCTCTTCTATTACATTTTGGATGAATTCAAGGTATAGGTTGGCATTCGCTCTTCTTGTCTGTGGATACCCACTTGTTTTACCACTATTTGCTGAAGTAACCATCTTTTTTTCACTCACTTAGCTCTTGGAAATCACTTGTCTGTGTATGTGTGACCGTTTGTGGACTCTGTCTGGTTCCACTGGTCTGTTTGTCCGTCTCCATACTATTTTCTACACTGCCTTGATGACCATAGCTCCCTGGCTTGCTAAAAATGTAATTATCATCAGAATAATTCATGCATCATTATTTTTAAAGAAAGGTGGCTGCCTCCTTCCAGCACCCACATGGGGGCTCCCTCTGACCTCGTTCTTCTCTCCCGCTGGCCTGAGCTCTTCTCCAGGGGCGCTCCATGCAGAGGGGACTACAACACCCAGCTGGCCCTTTGTTGGAGCTTTTGTCAAACCCTGAAGAGCAAATGTGGCCACTTCCTTAATCTGTGGGCATTTGGTGGCTTTGCAAGAGAGTGAGAATGGCTGACTAATTCTCTGTCCCCTCTCACCACTTCCTACTCTCCCTTTCTTTCTCGGTCACCCCCTTGTCCAGAGCAAGGTGGAGAGAGGCTCTTGGGAGGTTTGTGCTGGTTGGTGCTTTGCAGAGCATCTGTAAATGGACACTGAGCTTCGCTGAGGTCAGGGCAGTGGGAGAACGTCTCCATTTTGCAGACAAGGCAACTGAAGGCCCTAGAAACATTATGCCTTGCCCGGAGTCTTGCAGCAGGGAAAGTGGAAACACATCTTGACCCCAGGCCTTATGACTCCACATCTGGCAGTCTTCCCGCTGTACCTTAGGGGCAAGTCTCAGGCTGTCCTCTCTTGTTCTGCCTGGTAATTACTGTTTTCAGCTGTAGGGGTTCCTTGGTCTGGGCCCCACAGGAGGGAGGTAATTACATACTTCCAGATGCCTCCAGATGCCCTTACTCAGCAGCTCCTGGTTTGTCCCTGTGGCCAAGCCCAGTGCTGACCTTTGCCTGTCCCTCACCATTCGTAGGCCAAGGCTTAGACTTTGATTGATTCCCTCTGTTTTTCTCTGGATGGGGCCTCTGGTTGTACCTGGCGAGCCCCTCCTTCAGAGTGCCCATAAATTCTGTTTATTCAGACTGATGGGTATCCTCTGTTCTAAGGGGACAGCTAGCACTTGTCTTTCTGCCAGCCTGGCCCGGCTATGAGAAAAATCGTTCCCTGAATGATGGAGTCCTACGATGCTCTTCTTGAGGAAAGGGCAGCACTGCCCCTTGGTAGGGTGCCTCTTAACTCAGGAGCACCCACTTCTAAGCTCCCTACTCCAACCTTCAACCCCACCTGATTGGTCACTCTCAGCCAGAATTATCACAGGACCTGCCCCCAGCATAGTCCCCGTGAGCATCCTTGAGACTACTTAGCTGCTTTTACTAAAAAGGCAGACTCCCTGTCACAGCCCCCAGGCCCTGTGGAACCAACTCTGCCTGCCACCTTGGCCTTGTCTTATACCCAGCCCTCTTCCTTGCTCCTCTAGCCTGCAACAGGGCCAGAGGAGTGACCTTTTTGGAGCAGGCTTCAGTGCATCTTTTCCAAGAGGAGGCCCGGCTCTCCTGGGAGCTCACCCTGGCCCTGGGGGGCAAGGCCAGCTCTGCTGGCTGTGGCGGCCCTGCGTCTTCCTGGTGGGCCGCCTGCTTCTTCTAGGATCCCTTCCAGCACAGCCCGGCTCTGATCTCCTGGACTTCTGGGCCCAGAGGAAGGCGGGGAGGGTGTCATGCTGAGCGTCTGCCAACCCAGGGCTGGAGCTGAGGGGGCTGGGCTCTGGAGAAGGCCAGCCAAACCCACTCAGCTGTCTCTTTCTGCCCTTCCCCATGCCGGCAGGTCTTTGGATGGCCGGCTGCAGGTGTCCCATCGGAAGGGGCTCCCCCATGTCATCTACTGCCGCCTGTGGCGATGGCCTGACCTGCACAGCCACCATGAGCTGCGGGCCATGGAGCTGTGTGAATTCGCCTTCAACATGAAGAAGGACGAGGTCTGCGTGAACCCCTACCACTACCAGAGGGTAGAGACGCCAGGTATGGCCCCTGGGCTGCCCAGCAGGGTCCCCAGGGAGGGTGTGTGGCGTGCCTGGGGCTCAGGGGCTTTGGTGCCAGCCCTGCCTGGGTGCTGAGTGGCCTTGCTCTGTCTCCTTTGGACAGTTCTACCTCCTGTGCTGGTGCCACGGCACACAGAGATCCCGGCCGAGTTCCCCCCGCTGGACGACTACAGCCATTCCATCCCTGAGAATACCAACTTCCCCGCCGGCATCGAGCCCCAGAGCAATATTCCAGGTATTCATAGGGGTGGGGGCAGGCTGGGGAGGCAGGGTGGCCCCAGGCCTGCTCTGTCCCCGCCCCCAACTCCCTGTCCTCCTCTATCTGTGCAAAACGCAGGCCCTGGGCCCCGACTCAGACCCGCATCCCTGCTGGGAGAGGACCTGTGGCCTCAGCTCCCCGCTGGCTAATGATGCTTTTCTTGGCACGAGGGGCAGCGTGACCCTTCCGCCCAGCCTCAGTGCACTCATTTATTTTGGAAGCRGAAATAGCAGCACTGTGTTTCTCGGCCGCCCTCACGCAGGTCCGTAGGCCAGGGCTGGCGTGCAGGCAGGGGGGACTGCGGAGCAGGGGAGCCCAGGGCCCTGGAAGTAGCCTGGGCTTCAGACCTGGGAAGGGTTAGAGCCTGGGTGGGAGCTGAGGCTGAGTTGGAGTTTTTACTCTGCCTGCTGGGAGAAAAGGGCTCCCCTGTCAAAGAATGCAAATGTTTTGAGAAGCCCCTCATTGACATGCAAATAATGTGTGAATCACCAGCACTCCTGGTGTCCTGGGGAATTGTACTTGGCCACCCTTGGGCCAGCCACAGCGACTTTTGCTTGCTGGGGCAGTCATCCAGCTGCGCTCCTTTTAGAGCRGTCTAATTTGGACGTGGCTCTCACTCTGGCTTAGCTCACTGGCTGAGCGTGGCCCAGCCTGTGTGCTCGGGTCAGAGCGGGTGGGAGAGGCCCCCTATCCAGCCCTTTCAGATCCTTGCAGGTAGCTCTGGTCTGGGGGTAAGTCTCCTTCCTGGGATGGCAGACCTTGGAGGCTAAAGCAGGGTCTGGAGGAGTGTGAGAGAAATGGAGAGCACAGTCTCCGCCACTGTTGAACTGCAGCCTCCCTGGGGCGCTGGGCCACATCCCTAGAGACAACAAATACGGACAGCAGCGGACAGCAGCGTCTGCAGGGGAAGATGCAGGGGCCAAGGGGCGGGCTTGAGGGCACAGCTCTCCAGAGGCCAGAGATGGGGGAGGCTGAAGCAAGTCCAGAAGCCTCCCCAGAGGGCGTGGGGTTAACCTGACCTTGAAGAACAGGCAGAAGTTAGTCTGGCAGCAGCTCTAGGAACAGGCATTTCAGGCTTGGGAGTTCGTGGGCATGCTGTGTCTGATCCAGACAGGCGGAGCAGGCAGAATCCAGGAGTGGCCACCTTCACTCCTAGGCCGTGTTCCTCCAGCACCCCATTCTGGGTAGCAACGTGAACACTTGATGTATTTGCAAATGGTGTACCAGGGCCAAGCTGTGCAAACCATTTAATGGGCCACCTACCTTCTGATTCCAGAGACCCCACCCCCTGGCTACCTGAGTGAAGATGGAGAGACCAGCGACCACCAGATGAACCACAGCATGGACGCAGGTCAGTTGGTGGAGGCGTACTCACAGTCTCAGCAGAGTGGCTCGTCCTTCCCGCCCTTCCCCTCCCCACCACCCTTTGCTCCCTCCTCTCTAGCCAGTGTTTATAGAGTAACCACTATGTGGCAAATGCTGAGCTTACACATCATTGGAGACGGAGAAGTTAGTCAGCAGTTACTAGGCTGTCTCATATATGCCTGGATGGAAGACACAATGTGTCAGCTAGGGCACAAAATAGGTCACTTAACCTGGTCAGGGAAGGAAGTGTACCTTGCACTGCAGACTTTTTCCTGAGTTGAGTCTTGGTGATGCATAAGCATTAGCCATGCCGTCCGACTGGGCAAAGGGTACACCAGGCAGACTTGTAGGGGTCCTGAATGGGAGAGCCTGGTGCATTCTAGGGACAGTGAGAGCTCAGTGTGGTTGAGTCCAGGGATATCCAGCCCAGGTTGCTCAGTAGGGCTGGCATGCTCCGTCCAGAGAAGATGACAGAGGGCCAGTCATGTGGGCTTCAAGCTGCAGATCTTCCAGCCAGGCAGAGCACTTGGCCMGCAGCCCAGGGCTGATGGGGGCTGCTGAAGGCCTTACGCAGGCCTGTGCCTCAGTGAGATGTTGCTGGCAGTAGGTGGAAGCCGGGCTGAGACACCGGAACAGTTCAGGTGAGAAGCAAGGAGAGGCAGYGTGGGTAGAGAAAAAGATCTCCAACGGCTGCAGAAGCAGCTATTTTTTATGGTGGTCAAATGTGATCACAGTGCTCCTACCAGGAGGGATCCAGCCTAGCTCTCTCCTGCCACATCTCCAGATGTTTCTCACGTCATTTGTTATGGGACCCAATTGGCCGCAAACCAGCAGCTTCTTGAACTGAACCCCAGCTGCCACATAGAATGTGTGCGGCGTTGTGTGTGGCTGGGTGAGGAGGAGGAGAGAGCCCAGCAGATGTTCCATTCTGACGGTGGCGGGCATGCCTTGTACACACAGAGCTGCTAGACACGGCGGAGCCACCTGCCCCTGCACACAGCCCAGAAGGGATTGTGCAATTCCCCAAAGAATGAAAGGGGCTCACAAATGTGTTGTAAACGTAGTCCCTGAAATCCAGCCTGGGTGTTGTGGCACTTAGGGGTTGAGCTCAGCCCCGACACACACCCACCCTGGTGAGTGACTGGCCATGTGGACCCAGCTGGAGTGCACTGAAGACCTTCCTGCATTCAATGCCAAGTGACCGCTGCAGGCTTGCAGCTATTAAAGGCTGGCATGGGAAGTGGGCCAGCTAAGCCGTCTCTCTCCAGCTGCTAGATTTCTTGTCACTCTGCTTTCTCTCCTCCCCGTTTGCTGCTCTCCATATCTGTAGAATGATTACTCTTGTAAACAAACAGAGCTCAGAGGGGAGGGATGTAGATAGGAAGGGCAGCGTGTTTGCACCCTCTCCTCCCTGGTTTCTCTTCCCTTCTTCCCCCTTTCTGTGTTCCTTCTTTTTTCCTCTCCTCTGCCCACASGGCACTATGGTGATGTATCTAAAGGTGACACTAGCTTTTGTGGCCCCGGGCCGGCCTGTGCGTGGTTGGGTGGAGGGCTCCTATTTATTCTCTCTTCTTCCTCAGAGTTCCCCATTTGGGTCCCAGTTCAGTTGCTCAGGGCTTGACTTCCCTCCCGTGTGAGGCGTGGCAGTGTCTCAGGCCAGCAGGTTACCTGTTCACCACGGGTCTCCCCTGGCCAGCGTGGGCACCTTTCAGAGCAGTGAGAAGGTCCCACAGCCTTCAGGCCACCACAGATTAGAAATGAACATTTATTAAGTGCCTACGGTGTGCCAGTCATGGCATGAGCATTTTGATAGGCACGACCTCCATGTTTACATGTCACCCAGTAGATGATATTATCCCTACTTCACACCCAGGGAACATGAAGTCTTAGAAGGTTAAAGGACTTTGCCAAAGTCACACAGCTGGTACATGGTGGTGTGTCCAAACCCCATGACTGACTTTGAAATGTTGATCTTCCAGTGATTTGTTCAGTGTCTCCATTTGCATTAGGTACCACCCTGGAGAAGAACTCTGTGGCTCATCCCTTGCCCTCAAGGAGGTTACAGCTCATTGGGTTGAAATAAACTAGACCTCTAGAGGCAGCTTGAGGAAGCATGTGCTTGAGGCCAGGTGCAAGGACAGCCTCCAGGCCTGGTTCAGGGGGCTAGAAATCTACCCCCCAGGGATATTAARAAATCAATAACTCCTGTAGCCTCAACCATACAGGAACAAAGGGGACAAGCAGGACGGTGCTCTGTGAAGGGGCAGCCACTGGATTTCTTTGAAGGGGGCTCTGGGATGGAGAAAAAAAACAGAGTATGAATTAGGAGGAACTGGACTTTCCCTACGYGCACTCTCCTGTCTTGCACAGAAGGTCAATCTAGCTGCTGAGGTGCAGGATTTCTGAGGCAGGACCTGTCAGTGTCCTAAGATTGGTATTTCCTGAGCATAAAGGACTGAGAGCAGAACTGGGGATGCCTGGGTCACCTGGGGCGGGAGGCCAGCCTTCCACCACCTGGGGCTGTGGGCGGGGCTGAGGCGCCTCTTCTTTTCCTGGAAGCCTAGGTAACAGGAAGGTCATGTAAGCTGAAGAAAAAGATGCCACCTCCCTAGTTGAGAAGGCAGTACGCAGTGCTGGAGCACTGGTCAGGGTCCTAAAGCCATCTGTGTGGAGGAGGCCTTGGAGATCACCACCCCACCAACCCTCGTTTCACCAGTGCAGAAACTGGGGCCCAGGGCGGGCAGTATGGGCCAGGGCATGAGGTTAGGTCACCTTCTGGGACTTGGCGCTCAGTCTGGGCTCTCCCCATAGGATCTTTTATGAAGTCTTATCACTGTGTCTCACCTTTCAGGTTCTCCAAATCTGTCCCCAAATCCGATGTCCCCAGCACACAATAACCTGGGTAAGTATCTCTGTCCCATGCCTGGAACCCTCCCTGGCTGCTACACTGAAGGTGGGGCTCCCAGCCCCTCACCCCACCATCTGCCCAGCTCAGCCGCTCAGGTTTCTGGTTATAGTGACTCGGGTCACCTCAGAACGGGGAAACCTGAGACAGTGGTGGCAGAAAAGGCAACCATGTGCCGGGTTTGTATTTCACCTGAGTGGCTGTCGGACGTGAGTGAATGAAAATCCCCCAGAGCTTAGGCCCAGGAGACGAGGGTCTGTGGTGAGCCAAGCACATACGTGTGGTTTGGTGCAAAGCCACGGCGGCTGTGCAACTCCACCCACCGGCGTTCACGGACTTGCTTCAGATACACGCATGTGGATTTTATCTGAATATTTCATCTTGCTATAATTCATCTTTTTATTAAAACAGCAACATATAAGCAGGGGTGGGGGGTTGTGCCCATGATCCCACCAGCCAGCTGTCTGGGATCCAGCATGTATGGACTGGTGCCTTCCTGTCTTCTCTGTTGTTGTGCAAACGTGTTTCCATATTTAGATGCCTCGTTTACCACTCTGCATTACCTCATGATGTTTTTGAGCAGCTGGCCCCTCATTTCCCCAGCACCCYTGGATTGTTGGGCTTCTGGCTCAGTGTTTCTAAGGGTCACTCTGCCAGTGACCTTCAGTTCTTCAGGCTGGGACAGGCTTCTGGAGTCCTTGTGGCTTCAGCGTGGAGCCTATTTTGAAGGGCTCAAAACAAAGGAAATGTCTGTGTCATTTTTATGGAGGGGAGTTTCTGGTCTTCTGGGCTGGTAGTGTTAGAAAATGTGATTTGGGTTTCGTTTGAAGCTTTATTGCTGGAACTTACTCTGTGGCTCAGGAAGAGCAATGGTTAATGTCCACATGTGGTGAATCAGAGTGCACTGGACTGGCTTTGGGGCCCGCTTGTTTTCAGACCTTGACCGAGAATGTCAGATAAAATTCATCATTTGGAATATTGGGAGGTGCTTGGGAGCACTTTAAACAAGCTACCATGTGGGCAGAGTGACATGTGACTTTGGGGGATCTGTTTTAACATCTCACTGTGAGCACTGGGCTTTGCAGAGGGAAGGTCATGTTCCTGATAGGAAAGGACTGAGTTCTTAAAAACAAACTCAGGAGGCCCGAAGCCATGGGAACACTCGAGAAACTAAAGGCCATGACTGCACGCTTAACTCTGGCTTTCAGCTTTTGAGATGAGCTGGTTTAGATTTATTTTCTGTTCACCCTACTATGGTCAAGGCAGCACATTCAGCCAACAGACTCTGGGGTCAGCCCTTGGCTTTGAAACCAGAGGTCACAGGGCAGGATGGAGGTGGTCACTGCCCAGCTCAGCCATTTAGCAAGCTGTCCCAGGTGGCAGTTAGCAGGGACCACTCTTAGATCATGGAGTCTAGGATGAGGGGTGAGTCAAGCTTGGACCCTTGCCCCTTCTTCACATGCTTATCTGAGAGTGGGTGTTTCTTAGGTCATTTCTGACAAAGGCAGGAACATCCCTGAGCTGGCCCRTGGAGCGTGGAGGCCACTCATACTGGCCTAGTTACTCGTCTGCCAGGAAGATCTGAATCGGGACGAGTCAGCCAGCAAGTCAAGGGCAGGACCAGGGGAGACACTGGTGCYGGCAGGCCCAGCCTCCTCTCTGCTGGACGAGCCCCTGCGCCCACTTTTCCATTCAGAACCTACCTGAGAGCTATCGCAGATTCGAGGCACCACAGTGGGAAGGGGTGAGGTGAGGGTGATGGTGACAATGGCTGGCATTTCCTGAGAACTTCTGTTTATTGCTATTCAACTGCTTCATAAGTGTTAATCTTCATAACAACTCTGTGAGGCATACTCTTAACTTTTAATTTTATAAATTAGGATACCATAGAATAGGGTGAACTCATTCATCCTGGATCTTCCTTGATCCATAGCATGACCACCATGGCAGCAGGACTCTGCCTTGCTGGGCCATTTGGACTAGCTGTCCCCACCTGCCTCACTCAGAGAATAAGGTTCCAGAAGGAACAGGCAACAGGCTATGGCCCCCCGGGTAGGAGCCCTGCCAGCTTGCCTGACTTCCTCGTTCATTCCCTAGGTACTTCCGTCTGGTCACCATGTGCCTTGACAACAGGGAGAATCCTAGACCCTGTTGTCAAGGTCAATGGCCTTGTTGGGATTGATAAGTTGGGATTATAATCAATTATAAAACAAGAGGTAAATGCAGATGAAAGTACTGGGAGTGTTCAGAGGTCAACACTGGGGCCTTCGTGGGGATGTCCGACCAGGAATATCCTATCCTCAGCATTTGCCAAGTTCCTAGTGTTCATGAATACTGGGGTCCAGAGTGGGGGCGACATTTGGGCATTCACAGCCTGCTGGGGTGGCCAGGGATCCATGTTTACCTGTGATACCTTGCTCCAGGTGCCAAGGGAGCAAGTGCAGAGGAAGGGGATTGTGTGTGCTAGGAGGAAAATATGATGGGCTAGGACCACTGGAGCCATGTGACACATGTGAGCATGAACTTGAAGGACAGGTGGCTACTGTGAGGCCAAAAGGAGGGAGAGACCTTCAGATGGGAGGGCAGGACGTGTTCAAGGATAACCAGCACTGTGCTGGGTGGCACACTGGGGACCTTGGGAAAGATGAGGCTGAAAGGGCTCCTGATGTCCCCTTGGCCCTCCTGCCTACAGAATGAAGTTGGTGGTGGGCTCCAGATGGTGAGGGGGTTTATCACCCTCCACAGTGGAACTGCTGGGGGGAATTACTGGAGGAAAAGCACAAAGTCCAGGAGGCAGCTGGGCGGGACGCATGCTTTAGGGAAAGCGGCTGGCAGGGGCGGGTGTCTGTGAGCCCGTCTTGAGCCTGGATCCACAGGCTGCATTGGCCAGTGTGCACTGAGACGAGTGAGGTCTCCTCCCCAGGCAGGAGGCGGGATGTGTCTGTGACCTGGACCTGGACCTCAGTATGTCCTTTAAAGAAATTATTACAAAATTATTATACAACAAGGATGAAAGGACTTCCGGCTTCTTTGATTTCCTCCCCACCCCAGGCATGGGTCCTGGGCTTAGGTCTGGAGAAGACTGAGTGTCCTGCCACAGTAAAGCCACTTCTGGYAAGGAGCAGTGGCCTGGTGACTGGAGGAGGAGCCCCCAAGCAGGGGAGGCCCCGCTGGGCATCTGGAGCCCAGGAGCTTTGTTTTGCAGGGAAAGGGACAGGAGCAGGTGACGTTTCTCTGAGTACGTGTTGTGCTTGGTGAGTCACCTGGAGTTTCCTGGGCATTTGGGTCGGTAGGATTGGGGCAAATGGAGATGGAGGGAGAGGAGAAAGGTAACGCGCTGGGTCCTGCCGGGTGAGTAAGTTGTTCCCTGCGTTAAAGTGAGACATTTAGGGAGCGGCTTGACTGAGGAAAATGAGGTCCCAGGGAGTGTCCTGGGAGAGGTCGAGCTGGAGTTTAAGGAGGGGATGGTTTCCCAGAGTGCCGCAGGCAGAATGAGCCTTCCTCTCTGCCAGGAGACAGAGGCGGGGGGGGGGGGGGGGGGGGGGGGGGGGGGGGGTGGCAGGGCTGCTGGAAAGTGGAAGGCCACAAGCCCTGGAGAAAAGGACAGGGGTCCAGGTCACAATGACCTGGTGCCAGGTGTCCTCATGCTGCTGCACAAGCCGTTTTCCTAGGGCTGCCTCTGGCTCCAGTCTTCCCTAAGCTTGCGAAATCACACGCAGGCCACGTGAGGACAGGAAGTCACCCTCCCCAGGGTCCGGCTTAGACTTTACCACCAGGACTGGTGGTAGTTGGGTTGCAGGATCAAGAACGCGGGGTTCTTTCTGTGCACAATTGGTTGTTGCTCTGATCCTTGGAGAGAGGTCAGAATTGCTGCCCTGGATGCTGGGGACATAGCTGGCCTGGGCCTGTAGGGTGCTAACCACTATACAGCCAACTCCTTACCCAGGAGGCTGGGACATGGGGGCCACTCCGCATGGAGGGAATGTTTCAGGCACACTCGCTGGGCCTTCCAGGTCAGATCCGTGCAGACGGAGGGGAAGGGCGGTCCAGGGAGAGGGAACAGCAGAGTGGGAGATGCAGCAGGATGGGTGTGGGACTGGAGTGCGGACTCTCCCTGACGAGGCAGAGCTGTCTTCTGCAGGTGAGGAGACCCAGACGTGGCCAGTCCACTTGTTTTGACCTTGAGCCTTGTGGTGCCAGCTGGCCTGGCTGTTGCCCATTTGCAGCTTCCCCCTGCAGTAGAGAGTTAACTCCCTGCCCCTCCCCCACCTTTCCCTTTACCGGATCTGAATCTTTTGCACATGTTTTTAATAGGCATCCCTTAATCCGAGCGTTGCCTTCTGGGTTTTATTCTGTTTTCTTTTCCTTAAACAAAACAGAATGTCTATGCCAGCTTGGAACAAGGCGCAAACCTGAAGCCAGCCAACGCGTTAGCCTGGCAGGGGGCCAGCTGAGAATTAAGCGCTGTGCCCCATGCTACCCGAGAAGTCTGGCTGACACTCCACAGGGGGTGGCGGCAGGGTGGCTGGAGCTGGAGGGTCCTGCATCCCGGGCACCTCTGCTCTGAGAAGGGAGGTTCACAGACGAGGCAGTGTGGCTGCGAGCAGGGCTGCTTGAAGGCAAGGCCTTGGCACGTGACTTCCTCTTCCACTCTAGGCTTCTCCTTGGCCTGGAGAAGCAAAACTGCCCTCCAAGGGGCACATCACTGAACCCCCTCATAGGTATTTTCCCAGAAGAGCCTTCCAATAGTGTCTTACATGTAGAACTGCTTCTGCATCTAAACTCTTGAAACCAGGGCCTGCTGGCTTGTTTGGTATGGGAGAGGAATTGCCACCTACCCCTGAGAGATGACCTTTAAGATTTCATGCCAGGACAAGTTTTGTTTTCCTTGGGGAACTAGTGAGCATTGTGCATTTGTCAACCAGAGCCACGTAACAGGTTATGTTCTCTTTTCACTTTGGCTGCTAGGAAGCTCAGGGCCTAGTGTTCTTTTAGTGACTGTAAGTAACTTTATGGTTATCCCAGTCATAGCTTTTTCCTTTCCAGAGTCCAGACTTTGTATTTCTCATACTTAGCATGATGTGGATAAAGCCTTTGGTGGAAAAGAAACAAGGGCAATATATAGTTTAAAAAAGAAAGTTCCATTGAAGGAAGAACCCAGAGGTGGTGGCCATACTTTTGTGTCCATGGCTTCTCTTGCAGAATTGCCTTTAGGAAGCAGCTAGGAGCTGATGGGAGTGGGGAAATGGAAGGCAGGGGCATCTTTCAGTTGTTTGCAGAGAAAAGCAAGCACATGGCAGGACCATGGCTCTGGCTCTGCCCTGCTCCTGATCAAATAGCACTTTTTTAAATGGAAATCCTCAAAACTTTGACACTGGTTTAATGACACCACTTCCCTAAACCAGAATCTTCCTACTGATGTGTCCAGTGTGTGTCAGCAACTTGAAGGGCTCAGATCTGCTTAGAGGGCCTCTTGGACTCAGACTCCCCGAAGCCCACACTTCCCAGAGCCTGGTTTAGGACCATGTTCTGCAGGGGATACACTGCCTCCTCGTTTTGGCTGTGGTGTGTCACTGTCTCTGGGAACCTAGCTTGGTCTCTTTTTACCTGTACCAGGCCTGGGGAATTCTGGGCAGGGCTTTATGCCTTGGAGGTGAGGCCTGTGTGCTGTTCTCCACGTTGCCAAGTTTGGCCCACATCAGCCAAAGCTGCCTATTCAGGCCGACTCCTGCCAGAAGCACAGTGACCTAGATAGTTTGTTGTGGGTGTCTTCTGGTGCACTAGCCATTGTACAGACTAGGAAACTGAGGCCACAGAGGGCAGTCACGTACCCAAGTTCACACAGCAAGGTCAGCAGAGCCTGCACCTGGGCAGCCAGAAGCCCTGACGTGTTGCCTGACCACTTTGCATGCTTGGATTGCACTTGGATTTCTTTTCTTTTTGAAGTTTCCAAAGCAACATAGCTTACATTTTAGTGACCACAGTGTTTAGAATATCGCTTATCTCATTGGAATGCTGAAGCATCAAGCAAAGCCAGAGCCGGATGTGGCTGACGTGTCTCAGCCCGACCTCAGGAGCCAGGGCACAGGCCACAGCTGCCCCTGCCTCGTCATTCCTCCCTTCCCCATTAGGCAGCTTAGACCTCTGCCTTCAACCTCATCTTCCCTTGCTCCCTGCCTAGAAGGGCAAGGGTGCTCTGCCACTCCAGAGGTGGAGGGTGGGCAATTCTTGACACCTCACATCACGGGCCTGACATGTGCCTGCCCCTCCGTGAGCCAGCTTGGCACACCCACTCACAGCCCTGGTGGTAAAGAGGCTTCTGTACCTAGACCAAGGCACGGTGGGAACTGGGGCTCAGAGAGAGGGCCTGCACTGCTCCAAGCATCCAGGGCAGTTTTACCCCTTGCAAAAGAGCTGGCAGTGCCTGGAGACATTTTTTATTGTCACCTCTTGGGAGGGGGAGGGGTATGTATGGTACTGGCATCTCATGGGTAGGGCCAGAAGGGCACTAAACACCTTGTGACATGTGGAGCCCCCTTCCTCCAAACAGCAGTCTGGCCCCAAAAGTCAGTGGTGCTGAGGCCGAGGAACCCAGTCTGGGGGTGGCCTGATCCTCCAGCAGGCACTTTCTGAGTATGTGCCGGGCAGGGCTGGCAATGGTCTGCATCTCTTCTTCAGGTCCCTTCACCTATAGAAGGGACTGTGTGCCTGGACTCCTGAAGCTCAGGGCYTCTCTGTCGGCAGGTCACCCAGGCTCTTCCCTGTGGGCAGCACTGCTTCTGATTTTTCTCTAAGGCTTGGCACCTTTTGAGATCTGTTGATCCCACAAGTTGCCAGACAGACAGTGGGTGGGGTCCTCAGGCCAGTGCTGGGACCTGGGCACAGCCAGCCATCTTGCTTCTCCCATCAGAGCCAAAGGGCTAAAGCAAGGGAGGAGGGATGGGCTCTGGGCCTCATGGTCGGGTTGGATCATTAGGATGCTCACAGGCAGCAGCTCATAAAGATACACCCCGAATAACCAGATGGCCCTGGGAGCAGGGGGCCTGAGGCCCTGACCCGAGGCTTCTGTCTCTGCAGACCTGCAGCCAGTCACCTACTGCGAGCCAGCCTTCTGGTGCTCCATCTCCTACTACGAGCTGAACCAGCGTGTCGGGGAGACATTCCATGCCTCACAGCCATCCATGACGGTGGACGGCTTCACTGACCCCTCCAACTCCGAGCGCTTCTGCCTAGGCCTGCTGTCCAATGTCAACAGGAACGCTGCCGTGGAGCTCACGCGGAGGCACATCGGTAATGGGATGGCCATGCTGTCCCCACCTCTGGCCCAGAGCAGCCTCTGCATGCCTCCCCTGGCTGTGCTCAGCCTCCTGCTGGGATGTGGGGATAGGACTCACTCATCTATCCTGGCCCCCAGATCCTCTTGCTCCATTTAGATGCCAGACAGCTAGGGTTCAGTCTCCTTGGAGTTCAATTCATTTCCACCCAAAGATGCAGATAATCTCTGAAAACTCAGAAGCCAAGGAGGAGAACACCTCATTTAGGGGACAAGGAAGGGAAGTCTGTGGGGAAGGTAACGCGTACGAATGTTTTAATAAATATCCCTTGAGGTACAGCTAGGTTGATAAGTAGGTGGTCCACAGCCGCATGGTCTTGGTTCCTTTGGGAGGTTATGCTAAGGACAGTCATGGTTTTACCATCCAGGGTCACAGACTGCTGCCTCCCAGAAGGGCTGCGGAGATGATGTGGTAGAACATCCAAGGGCTGGCCAAGAGGCTCTGGGGACAAACTCAGGAGCTTGGCAGGGGCAGCAGCAAGGGCCATTGTCCCCACCTGCCCCAGGGTACCTCTGCTCTTGCTGGCTTCCTCTGAGTTCTCTCAGATTGGCTTGAAAAGAAGTTCCTGCAGTGGAGAGAAGAGCTTGCAGGCCATGGGCTAGGGCATGCAGTCTCTTGGTCCTGATCTCTCCACTCCCATCCCGGCTGCCTTCCTTGTGCTCTTGCCCTTCCTTGTGGACTCTGGGCCCCAGCACACAGTCCTATAGGACCCAGATGAGAGGAAATGGGAGTAGTGGGGATTAGAGGGAGGAACAGGGACATGGAATGGTATACAGGTCGGTCGCCTGGTTTCCACCCACTTGCCACTGGGCCTGGAAAACCTGGCTGCGTTTCTGGCCCTCTGGGCCTGCTCCTCAGGAGCGGAGCAGAGAATTTCCCGTGCATAAGGGCGCATCCTCTGGCTGAGCAGAGAGCTCCTTGTCGGAGTGTTTATCTAACTGTTGGAACTGCAGAAGCAATTTAAAAATAATTTCTGTCCATCTGGAGTGGATTTAAGAGATGAAGGAAAAGTAAATGATGTGACCCTGTGGTCTCCTTCAGAAACACGCCGGGAGGGATGGCGTCACACCATTCCTGCAGCAGAGGGCTCCCARAGGGGTCTGCTGCCTCTGGAGCCTGGCAGGTTTACGAGTGACCCTCTGAATCTTGGGGCAGGGAGGGAGCAGAGTGGTGGTGTGGTCAGAGGGGGGACAGCAGCTGTCACTCACCAGGCACCTGCAGTATGTCACACAGCAGCTGTTGAGAGTGACGTCTTTACCCGTTTTCTAGAGGAGCTCAGCCCCCAGGTGGGATAATGTGACTGAGACCTATGGCTAGCCAGTGGCAGAAACTGTCACTGAGGTTATCACGGGCTCTTATTTCTCTGCCTCCCCCCCTTTAGAAATCCAGTGTCACTTGTGATTTCCCTGCTTGGGTTTCAAGTTGGGCTCTGGGTCCCATGGTGAAGGGAGCTGGCAGTCCCTTGGGGCAGCCACTGCAGCTCTGTCCTCTTTGCCAATCTCCACTGGCCCTGGGGCTGCGGTATGGGCACAGGCTCCTGATCCATCTCCCCACATCTCCAGGGCGAGGCGTGCGGCTCTACTACATCGGAGGGGAGGTCTTCGCAGAGTGCCTCAGTGACAGCGCCATCTTCGTCCAGTCTCCCAACTGTAACCAGCGCTACGGTTGGCATCCAGCCACCGTCTGCAAGATCCCACCAGGTAAGCCTCCCAATGTGGTGTCCATCTTGATGGCACATCCAGGGTGCTGGAGAGTCCCTCTTTCCAGCCGTGTTTCCTCATCGGGGTCCGCCCTGTCAGCATGAAGGCATTTGGCTGGGTTCTCTCTATGCCTGCATCTTCCTGTGCTCTCCCTGGTCCTCCAGGGAGCAGAGGCAGCATCGGGGACATCTGCCTTTCCCCTGGGCTACCTGTCTGCAGACCTGTGGGGTGTGTATGATAGAGACAGAAGAGTCTAACGCAGGGTGGGGTGCCCAGCACCTGGGGAGAGGGTGGTTTAACCATTGGGATAGGCACAGGGTGGTGGCATGGAGCCCCGGAGGGCATTGCAGGCAGAGGCATGGAGGTGATGCAAGGCAGGACACTTAGGGGACGCTCTGATTGGAGGAGGGGTTGTGTAAAAGAAGGAAATGTTTGAAGAACTTGGTGGGACCAGGCCATGGGAAGATGGGAGGAAAGTTTCAGTTTTATCCTGTGGAACTGTTGAGGGTTTTCTCAGTGAGGCTGATGAATCTACCTGGACCCCGAGCATGTGTGTGAGGCGACACCCTGTAAGATGGTTTAGACAGGGTGGAGTTTGGACAGCAAGGTCAGGTAGGAGGCTGCTCTGCCCCCTGTCCCACCCCAAGGCCTCTTTACCTCAAATATCCCAGTGGAAGCCCAGCCAAAGCCCACTTCTCACACTGCAGGCACCAATAGACTGTGGGCTGTGACTGGCTGCTAGAGCATGTGGCCTGGGCCAGGTCATAGCCCATGGCACATGGGTGGCATGTCTCTTCCTGCTTGCTGAGTAGGAGATGACAGTGGACCTGAGCAAGATACACTTAAAATGCAGAAAACCTGAAATTTTAACAGTGGCCTACTTCCCGAGCATTTTTGTGGTTGCATTTACAGAGTGCATTTTTATATCTGATCTCATTTAATCTTCTCCAGTTACTCTGGCTCTACTAATAAGGCAGTTAAGGAAATAAGTTCAGAGGGGTTAAGCCAACTGCCCAAGGACACACAGCTAGGAAGGAGCCGAGCTGGATGAGCCTAAGACTAGCTGACTCCCGCCTAGTGCTCTTCTGTTTCTCAGCTCTGCAGGGTAGAGGGTGGGGATGGGGGCTGGAGAGCAGTCTCAGCCCTGATCCAGCACATGTCCCCTGGAGAAGGGGAAGGAGAGGAAGATCAGTGACATTCAGGCATTCTGCCCACTCCTTCCCTGGCCTCCCCCATCTTTTTGGTGAGGGCCAARTGGACCCTGTCAGCTCACAGAACATCACAACAGGGACAACCTCCAATGACCCCCCATTTTAGAGACACAAGGTTCCAAAAAAGGTTCTGTGACCGGCCCAGAGACATGCAGCAAGATCGGGCGCTGGTGCTGGCCCACTCCTAGGTGTCACCTCGCCTCACCTTTCGGTTATTCTGGCGTGTGCGTTGGTCTTTATTTTTCTGGTTGACGCATTCTTGGCACGCAGGCAGTGGGAGGTTTATTTTAAACTTTATTTGTGCCTGTCTCTAGTTTTACTGTCTGGAGAATTAGACACACACCTTCACTTTGCTGGGAATGTCACCTCGACTCAGTCTGTGCCCAGAGGCCAAAGTGTGACCCAGATCTCTCCCCTTTCCTGGCCCCAGCATGAGGCAGATCCGTCAGAAGAGTCTAGGTGGACAGTGCCTCGACCTTCTGCTGAGCTTCCTACGGGGTGTCAGGTCCCGCAGCTTTCAGCTGGCCTTTCTGCTGGCCCGCCCTGCTCCTCCACCAACGTTGAGAGCTCCAGTGCCCAGGGGGGTGCTCATGCCCGGGACAGCATGGGCATCTAGGCTCAGGTCCCTTTCCTCTCTTTTCCCTGGAAGGCCTTGGCCCCTTTGCCTCTCCAAACTATGCCCTGGGTCCTCAGCATGCCCACAGCTGGAGRGGGCGGAACTTGTGGGCCAGCCTTTGATTTTCCCTCCTGCACATCAGCTGCACATCCTCTGTGAGGTGGTGACAGATCGAGAGGAGGCACTGGGTAGGCCCATCTGTGGCATGGTGCCAAGCATGGAGTATGCGGCTAATGCCTCAGACGACCAGGTGCCACTTGAGCCGAGTGATCCAGGGATTGCTTTAGCCGGGAGGGGAGCAGCTGGCGTGTACAGGCCTCTGTTCCCAGCGGCACTGTCGTTTTGGGCAGGATGCAACCTGAAGATCTTCAACAACCAGGAGTTCGCCGCCCTCTTGGCTCAGTCTGTCAACCAGGGCTTCGAGGCTGTCTACCAGTTGACTCGAATGTGCACCATCCGCATGAGCTTCGTCAAAGGCTGGGGAGCAGAGTACAGGTCAGTGGGGACCAATACGGGCAAAGCAGAACAGCAGAGCAGAGGCTCCTTGGAGATGAGCAAGGCCAGATGTCATGCCCCAGAGCAGAGACCACAGATCACGGAGGCCACAGCCCGGCGGGCGGGAGGGGCAGAGACATTCCTAGACAACCGGAAGAGCAGGACAGCACTGGCCTTGCACTGAGCAGTTTCTCAAGTGCTGTCAACAGACATGTCCCATTTTGTCCTTTCCACAACCCTGGGTGAGGACACAGGCATTGTCCCTGTTGCACAGATGAGGGAACTAAGGCCTAGGTAGGACGAATGACTTGCCTGAAGTCACTTCATCAGTGGGAAGCTGAGCCTAGAGCTGTGCCGTGGCCACTCATCCTCAGTCCTTGGGGCAGATGGTTTCCTTCACCCAAGGGTCTCCCACCTGTGGCTCCTTCTCTGAACTTAAGGACGCTGGTGACTCTGAACATCTAGGAGAATCAAGGAAGGAGGGAGGAGATCTGCATGGTTACAAGAGTTTACTATGCATGGACGTAATTTTTAAGAATCCTACATAACAGGTCTGAATATGGTCCTGATTAACAGGTCGGCCTACTCTGCTTACTCGAGTCCCTCAGACCATCCCGGGTTGGGTTTCCCGGGAATCCAGCCCCTTCTCCCCCCACACCTGGCAGGGGTTTCCTGACAGGCAGGGCTGCGTGCCCCCTGCTGCACACCCCGCCCAGCCCCCAGCTCCCGCGCACAGACGCAGAGGTGCCACACGTCAGCTGGAGCCAGTGCCTTGCAAGCTACTCTCCCTTCTCTTCATTTTTCCAGATGTTTGGAATCTACTTTGTTTTGCAGTCATTCTGCACCCCAGCCAAACCCATTTTAGTGCTGGCTCTGAGCCACGGTTTATAATGAAATCCTGATGAGCATGACTTATGGAAAGTCAGATTCTCATTAGAGGGTTTTGCTCTGTAAAATCCACCTCCTCCAGTTACCGTATTTTAGCTGCTGTTCTTCTGCATCTGCCCCAGAGTGCCAGGGAACACCGCACCTTCATCCCTGCAGTCTTTGTGAAATCCAGGGAACCACCAAGGGGGTGAGGTTGTCAGCCCTTGGGAGGACTTATGACCATGTTATGAAGAACTAGAGAGATTAGCCCAAGCCCAGAGGTCCCGTTGGAGAAATGTTTTATCGAACCTTTCAGCCCTGGCTAAGATCACTTAGGGAATGAGAGTGAAAGGTTAGAAAATTAATGTTTTTAGTGGGAAAGGGAAATATTTAAAGATGGACCCAAATGGAAAAGAGCCAGGGGAAGTCCACTGGCTCTTCTTACACCCAGATTTTAACCCAGGGACCACACTCAGGTGCCTTTGACCAAGCAGACACCCCAGGGCCAGGTTGCAGGCCTGTCTCAGGTTAAGCCCAACAAGCAAGGAGGGTGGCCCTCAGGACAGTGGACCTGATGTGGTGTGGCACCATGGTCCTCCAGCTGAGGGCCAGGCAGAGGCTCCGTGGTGGCGGAAGCCTTTCCCTGGGGGCACTGTATCACTGTGCAGGACGTTCTGCCAGCACTCCTAGTCCTGTGCGGCCCACTGCGTCACCGCCGCCTGGCAGCACGCACCACAGCCCAACGGACGGGTGGGGCCCCTTCCCAGAACAGCTTTGTCCTCCTGCCTCGTGGGCCAAGGAGAGTAAGGTTTCAGACCGTGTCTGTGAGGAGGCCGAAAGCAGGACCCAGTCCTCTTACCTCCAGCTGGCACCCGTAACTCTAGCCTCAGCAGATAGCCTCTGTTCAGCAGAGGCCTTTGGGACTTTGCCTATGAGCTGCGTCATCCGCCAGCCTGAATTTAGACAAAGTGCTTTGGGGAAAAGAAACGTGTGGCGTGCCTTGGTTTTTTCCAGTAATTGTTTCATGGCTAGCTCTACTCGTAAGATTTTCCAAAATAAGGCCGTAGATGGGAATTATATCAGCACATTGGGAACTGAAGGCATGTGGACTCAGTCGGCACTTCATACAAAACACCCCTCCACCAGACAGACACACGTCATTGCAGCCTGTTGGGGCTGGGCCTGGTCTGGAGACCGGGAGCTGCAGGTGCCCAGCTGGCACAGATGGGAGCCAGGGGGACCTTTGCTCAGGCTGGAGGTCCTCTAGTGGGGGGCCTGTCACAGTAACTGGTGAGCCTCTGGGGTACCCTGGAATTGACCTTACATGTGTAACATTTTAAGGCCCTCCTTCTCCCCTAAAGAAAAACCTGAGTTACTGAGTCCTCCCTGGTTGGAGGAGTTTAACTTGTCACCAAAGCAGAAAAAGATGTTCTGACTTGTATTTGTATCCCTGTGGACTTTTTTTTAAGTCCCCCCATCCCTTTCCCTGTTCCTGCAGGAGACAGACAGTGACCAGCACCCCCTGCTGGATTGAGCTGCACCTGAATGGGCCTTTGCAGTGGCTTGACAAGGTTCTCACCCAGATGGGCTCCCCCAGCATCCGCTGTTCCAGCGTGTCTTAGAGACCCTGGGAGTGAAGAGGGAGGGGAGGAGAGGGCGGGCTTGGGGAAAATGGCCATGGAGGAGAAAGGAGAAAATCAGAACTCTCCTCAACCCGTTCTTGTCAAGGAAGAAAATCTTCTCTCTCAACCAAGGTGGCACCAACCTGTTTTCCAAAGCACAGAAGCAAACCCAGTGATGGATTTTATGAACAGTTGTACCTGCTGAACACATATGCCCTAGGCTCCAGTGTGAAGGGCAAGAAATGGCTTCTGCTCCAGTGGCTTGTGCCAACAGGTAGTGTTTCACCACCTGCCCCTTCCTGCAGCCACCTCCTTTTTTAATGATATCTGGGATGTCACAGTCCAACAGGAAAGCCTCTCTGCCCAGGGCTTGGTGTGGAATTCATCTTGGAAGAGTGTTCCAGTTCTCTGGCACTTTTGATTAAGAGCTTCTCGGATAGAGCATTCCCAGCCGCACCCCACTATGCTGGCAGTGGGCACCTGATGAGCTGACTGCACGTGGGGAGGGGCTTGCCCAGCTGGCTCCCCTCTCAGAACACACTGATTGGTGTGAGCAAGCATGTTCAGCAGAATGTGTTCCTGGGACCCTGGGAAAAGTTGACGAGACCCATCTCTTCTTTAAAAACTTTTTGCCCTTCCTCACTTGGAAAAGTGGGAAGGATCTGCTGAGTCTCAGTGCGTATGCAATGTATAGTTTCTATTATCACATTAATCTCAAAGAGATTTGAATGACATTAAGTGTTCACATGAAGCAAAGGGCAGTTGGATGTAGTGGCATTCGGGCTGAGGCAGCACTACCGCGAGTGCATCCCCGGTTGTCTCKCGCGGTATTCTGATGCATTCGGCTATGTTGGTTTATGTAGTCGGTTGCATTAATTAAACCAACTTTATCATATGCTCTTTTAAATGTTTGTTTTATATTAAAAAACAAAAGTTCCTGGGTAGGCATATCGACTGGGAAAGCAGACTGGGACCCAACAACTACTTCTCTCCCAACGTGAAGCTTTTCCAGGTTCTGTTGAGACACCTGCCAGCACTTTTGGAAGCTGAAATTTACAGAAGTAAATTCACCAGAAGGGAAAAATCTCAGGCTAACATAGGCAAATGAAAAGGGCTATTAAAATTTTTTTATACCTTTGAAAATTGCAGGCTTGGTGCAAAGAGATCTGTCATCTTCGCCCTGAGACGTGATATTATGTAGCTTGTGGCAGAGGACCCTCAGTAACAACTATTGCAGTGATACTGTGTGTTAAGTATAGCACCCAAGGGCAATTAGGTAGAAAACTAGTATACATTATTTCAACTGGAAAAAGAAAAACCGAAACTGATTCTTTTACTGGCCTTTTGCAGAATACAGCAGACACAGGATTGCCACCTGCAATTGGTACTTTTTTCTTTGCTGCTGTTTTTATATGAAATGACTTATTCACATTTTTGCATGAATTTATACCAGGAAAAAAAGGGGGGAGGGGATTTCCTATGGAAGTCCTGTCTTATTCTAGGTGAAGGGAATAAAGTGTATACTTTTGGCAGGTCAGAAACCATAAATGTGATGAAATTCCTCATGCTCCTTGAAGATGTCGGGGACTTCCTGGCATCTCACCTACAGGATCCAGTGCCCCTGCAGCTACGGTCTTGAGATTCCCATCTAGGAGAGCTGCTCCCTACACCTTCTGAGGACACAGGAAGAGATGGAATGAATACCTTGCTCACTTGTGTGTGTCTTTCCACAAGGGTGTTGACAGAACCCAGAGATAATACAAACCCTCTCACTTCCTCAGATAGGTGCAAATGCTGTGGGTATGGAATTTGTGCTTGGCTAAAAGTGGTCTGTAGACACACACACACACACACACACACACACACATACACACACACACACGAGGCCTTCTGAACCTCCCGTGTGTGCCTTCATGCTCCTGGTCAGCTCAGAACTCGGGGCAGGAATATTCCATTTTGGCTTCTGCTGGAGCAATCACAGCCCCTCGCATGCAAGCTGTGGGCAGTGGTTTCTGAGGCTCGCACTCCTCACCTATTACGTAAGAGCTTCCTATGGTACAGTTGTCCTCCAGGTGCTTGGGGACAGCTTCAGGTGTAACACAATCTTGGTGATGTGCTGGTCATAACTGGCTGCATTTTGGAGGGTGTCTTAGAACCCTCAATGCTCAGATCTGATGGATGCTTCTAATTGGCATGAAGTCTTGAGTTTTGTGTTTTTTTCCAAAGGCTGTTTTCTTGACCCTTTTCCTTAAGAGACCACCAGAGGATATGTGAGGAAACTGTAGGCAGATCTACCTTTGGCATCCGTGAAAATAAATTTGGTCATTTTTGGATGTCAGGGAATGGTACCTTTCCCATCCTGGAACACAAATAGGTCCTTTGGGCATGTGTAATATTAGTGTTCTTCTTGTCACAAAACTAGTTTTCTTAGTTTTAAATCTTATATGAATGACATTTATACATTTTAAAAACTTTTTTTAAAGGACAGCTGAAAGAGGCAAGAGGAAAACCAGGGCAATTTCAGAGGCATGGGAAGGGCTACCGGACAGCAGTTTTAAGTGTAGTTTGCTCAGGCGACATGACCTCACGTGCTGCCCCCCAGCTGCATCCGGTGTCTGCAGCACTCCCAAGGAGCCAGCTTTTAGCACCTTTCCTTCCCACCACTCTCTGCTTCCTCACTTAATTCAGTAACAGACCCTCCAGTGCACACGCAGGTAGCTGCTCCAGCCGGTTTGGACTACAGGCCTGTGCTGGCGCATCACCTCAGCTGGCCACCTTCTTGGCAGGCTGTAGAGGACCTGACACCTATGACTAGCCTGGAGTCAGGAGCAGGGACTCTGACTCTTGGGAAGAACACACATGAGGGCAATGCTGCTGGCAGACTTTCCCATTGTCCTGATGTGTTTTTTTTTTTTTTAATTGACCGTAGTTATTTTTTTAAATCATTGTTAATGTATTGAAATGAGCTGTAGCACATATTGTGTGCTTAGTCTGTTTTTCTCCATCTCCCTTTGGCTTCCTAGAGTCTGGACCTAGGCCAGGGCTGAATGCCTTTACTCAAACCACAGGAAGGTTTTCTTTAAGTAGTGTGTGCATGTTGTGCATGGACGTAAGTTGTCTAGGGAGCTGTCATTCTTAGCCCCACCTGCCATTTCTGAGGCTTCATGATTGTGCCCTCTAGTCTTCAAAAGGAAAGGCTGGGAAAGGACTCTGCAGGCTGCTCGCAGGACTGTTTACCTAGGGGGCCACTAGCAGCCAGAGATGGCACAAGCTTGGCTCCGGACGCTGTTTCTTACAGAGTGCGTTAAGTGGCTAGAGTTGGGTGTTTTCTCAGAATGTACATGTGTCTCATTTTTACTAGAAGAAAATCTTAGCACAGCTAGGTTGTGCCATTTTTCTTTTTGTGGCATCAACGCTCCCCTGTAGGACCCCTTCAAGTAACATTCTTCACATTGTCCATCCCCCTCTTAAGGAGCATCGGCCACTTCCTAGAGTGGATGGAATGTAGGAAACATACTCAAGAGAATGTGGGTCACCATGACGATGTAGCACCCCCGATGGGAGGTGTCAGTCAGCGGGGATGACTTGGTACACAGGCACCTCCTCAGAAACACAGCTGTCATGTAAAAGAAACTCACCTCTTGGGCAAACTGGAGTGAGAAATTCTCAGTGATTCTGTAATTGATTTTTGTTTTTTTTAATGCAGAAATAATGGATACTCTAGCATTCTGGTGTTTTTATATTTATGTAATAATTTCTTAAAACCATTCAGACAGATAACTATTTAATTTTTTAAGACAGTTGCGAAGGCCTCTCCCTTCTGAGGTCAGTGGCTGGAAGAGTTGGGTACAGCCAGTTCTGAATGTTGGTGCCTTGAGGAGTGTAGTGGCTTTTTTGGCTCAGCATCTAAAACTCCAAGCGAGGCTGGCTGCACAAGTGACAGTGTGTAAAATCAGGCAGCTCTGAGTCAAATCTAGGCCTCCACAGGGATCCTGGGGTGAAGACGCCACCCAGAGAAGGAACCACTTTTATCCAGGAGGCCTGCACTGCTGCCACTGCCAACAGGCTGTTCTGGACTCCTGTGTTGGCACGTGTCGGGGTGAAGACGAGAATGTGGAGGATGTTGATTACCTTCACTATTCAGCCAGCCTGACCTTTTAATATCTTTGTAAAAAGCATGTACCTATTTATAGTGTTTTAGATTTTTCTAAGTTTTGTATCTTAAAAGCAGAGCACCTGTTCTAAGCATTGTACCCCTACTGTTAAAGATCCGTGTCCATTCCCCTTCCCTTCCTCTTGTAAGTGCCCTTCTAATAAACTTTTCATTGAAAAGCTCCTAGGCCAGGAGCTCAGTCTGATTCTTGCTGCTGTCTCCGGGTGAAGAGAAGATTTCACAGAGCCCACTGAGGCCTCAGCATCCAGGGCAATCAGAGGGAAATGTCTGCAAACCCAGATGTACTTTGACCACCAATGTGCCAGGTGGTCCTCAGATAATCCCAGCTGCCCTCATTCACTCACTGAGGGCATCACTAAGGCCTGCCAGTCTTTGAGAGACAGCAGGAGACCCTGTGGTTCCTGCAGGGCTCCTGGCCATGACTGAAGCCATCGCCTCCAGCCCTGCACCCCACGCTTCTGTTAGTCTTTTCCACTCTGCCTCTTCCGCACTGTCACTGTGTCTTAAATGCTGCCAGACTTGCCCTCCCATCGACACACAGGTAGTTTCATATTCACAAGTAACGGGGTTGCCATGCTTTCTGCTCAAATGACTGTTAGCATCTATGAGAATGCTTTTTGAATTCTAAACTCCCAAGGAAAAAGAGATTTCAAAATCTCTTCCTTGTCTAAATATGAATTTGAATAAGCAGAATTTGGAGGGCAGAGGAAGAGATGGGGCCAGAATCATCCCCAAGTGTGACCTCTTCTGCAGCAGTCCACTTTAGGACCTTACCAGAGTCCAGGAAGGCCATTTCACAGCAAGGGCACCAAGGGGCTTGCAGACTTGTCCTCTGTGAACTGCATCAAATGCCTGCCTTGGGATTATCCCACCCTCCAGACCCCAAAAAGGCCTTCCCCAAGGTTTTACGAAATGTATATTTCTCTCAGATTGGCACCTTCAGCTGAGCCATACTATCATAAATTCCAATAGCCCATTACATGGGATCCAACACAGATCCAAAACACACATCCCCCCTCCCCCCAATAGAACCAGTTTCCTCAGGACCCRCCCCAGCTCCTCCATCCTGCCTCTGGGTTCTTAGGCCTGCCCTCCCCCTCCCCGGGTCCTCACAGCTTCCTTGCTCCTTGCTAAGGCCGCACTGGCTGAGCAAACCTCCCCTGGAAAGGCCTTGCCTCAAACTTCCCAGTTCTCCTTGGCCCTTAACCTCTACTCTCTTGGCCAGCATCTCCGCTGCCTCCTTCATCTGGTGTTCCCAGACCACTGTATGTGCTCTTGACACTTGTCCCTGAGTGAGCTCACTGGCCTCTATGATCTCAAGCCACATAAACTGCTCATCACTACTCACAGACCAAACATCAATCCAAATCTTCACTCATGTCAGATAACCTGCTGGCTACTGATATGTACAAGTGACACATGTACCTCAAACACAAAACAATCATTTCCTTTGTTAAACCAACTGTGTCCCCTGGACTTTGCTCCCATTTTTGGCATGACCATTCACCTAGCCTGTACTGAAGGAAGTCACTGTTGTCTCTGGCTCCCTTGCTCCCACCTCCAATTGGCCTTGCTCCCCGAGCTCTCCTCTGCTCTACAGCAAGTCCTTCAGCACCTGGACCATTGGACCAGCTTCCTAACTAGTCCCGTCGCCTCCAGCCTGCATTTTTACAAATTCACACTGCCTGTGTTAGTTTTCTGTTACTGTAACAAAATACCTAAGGAAATGAACTTAATAAGGGAAAAGGTTTATTTTGACTCACGTTTCAGAGGTTTTCAGCCCATGGTTGCTTGGTCCTGTTGCTTTGGGCCTGTGGTGGTTCAGTGCATCAGGCAGGAATATGTGGCGTGAAGAGCTGTTTACCTCACTGTGGCCCCGAAGCAAAGAGAGGAAGGGGCCAAGACCTCAAAATCCCCTTCAAGGGTAGGCACCCAATGAAGGACCTAACTCCATTACACCCCACCTCTTAAAGGCTGTGCCACCTCCCAATTATGAGATGGGGACCAGTCTTTAACAAATGGATCTTTGGGGGATAGTTCATATCCAGAAATGCCTCCCTCACACCACCGTCCATAGCACAAACTGAACATGTGGTCTTCCTCCTCAGTCCCTGTGTAGCTCTCATCACTCCCTGCCTTATCCCTGCAGCCCAGCGATTCATGGTTCTTCTGTGTCCGCCTCATCTCCACAACTGCTCATGTTCTTTCCTCTGCCTGGAACATCAACCTCTCTTCCCAGCCCCCTCCCCTGCTCCTTGGGTTTCTGATAAACACCACCAGCCCAGCCTGCTAAATTTGACTATCGCTTTGTGATGCCTTTCAAACATCTCCTCCAGGAAGTCTCTCACGAGTACTGATCATCATAGTCTTTTCCACTTGTGTTATTTGTGTCTAAGCTGAGAGTTTCTTGAGAACAGGGTTTACATTTTACTCCTGTAGTCCCAGCATCTTTGGAGCAAATATTGTTACTGAACAAATGAATCAACCAGTACCCTATTTAATAGATTCTACCTTAACAATATCTTATGCATCTGTTTCTACTGTGCCATTCTATTATAATAGAAATAGCACCAAAATACAGTTCCTGATTTCCTTTTATTATAGCTATGACAAATTTTGTCTCCCTCTGATCCAGGTTAGCAACTATGTGACAAAATTACCACCATTCTCTGTATCTCTGTCCATGGCAAAAACCACTAATCACAATGCTAGGTCCAGTCTAACCCTCAGAATCCTCAACACAACTAATTAATTATGCAGATAGTGACAAAACTGTGCTGGATATTCCTGGATTATGGTTGGATGCCTTCTCTGCTCAAACACATTTGGTTACTCACTCATCTCAAGCAGGTACACAACATACAAGGCAGGCTTTCAGGGGCCTCTCCAGCACACTCCCACAATTCACTAATTGGACTACCTGGGTTATTTGGACATGCCCCTTCCATATCTCTGTTCATGCCAAACTTAAGAATTTTGCTGCTTCTCCTTTATCTATCTGCCCCAATTTTTGTATCCTTTCAATTCAAGCATTATTTCCTCTAAATCAGTGTTTTCAATGTGTGCCCCAGCACCAGCAGCATCAGTATCACCTGAGGTGTCAGAAATGCAGATTCTCAGGCCCCACCCCAGATCAACTGAATCAGAAGCCCTGCGGTGGGACCCCGTAGATGATCCTGACCTGGGCTAATTTTTGAGAACCACTGCTTGAAGGTGCACTCTGTGCTCTGCTCTCCTTCCCTCAGCAAAGGCTGGAAATGGCACTTTTTACTTTCTGCTTGGTATTGTGTCCTTGTGATATTGTCCTGCTTGACCCTACTCCACTGAATTAGACTCTGACCTCCTGGGTAAGAGGAACTGCACCTTTACTAAGTTCTGTATCTTCTTTCATGCTTGACTCTGAGTCTGATGCAAGCAAGGTTCACAGCATTCTCGAGGCCCCGAATCCTAATTTCGGCCCTCACCAGGGTAGAAGGAAGAAGTTTGAGGGCATCAAACTGTACCAACTGTACTTGGTCATCCATCAGGCATTAATGGACTTCTTGAGAATTTCCTGGGGAAGCACAATTGGTACAGACCATGCCCTTGAACTTCAGATTGAGTCTTCTGTCTTCCAAACTACACTGCTGTTTCCATAAAGTACATGCCCCAGCCCTTACTTAGCCCACATTTTTTTTTTTTTTGTAACATTAAAGGCACATGGTTGATAACATAAAGGGCAGAGACAATGATTGGCTGCCTCCTCCATAAGAGAGGAGCAAGGAGGCTTCCTCCTTAGCAAACTGAGCATGAACAGCTTCATGTGACCTGCTTTTTCCTTCCAGATTTGTAGTTGTGAGGAAGGACTATTTGGCCTATCAACACAGAAGGGTTTTAGAAGAAAATTTTTCTTTTCTCCTTCTACCCGCAAGCCCATGTTCCAAAGATGCAGTAATACCCTTTAGGGCCAGGTTTTGAGTCAAAACTTTTCCAAAAGAAAACAAAGTAGAACTATAAATCAACGAAGCTGGAATGGGATTCAGTCATGCTCTGAGAAAAGATGCAAACTATTGCTGTTGCCTTTTTGTTAATTCTTCATCCTGCAAGTCTGAAGAGCAACTTATAATCAAGCAAGATGCTTCTAATACTAGAAGAACTCAACTCCAAGTAAAGAGTCTACAGGAAGAGCGAGACTTGTAATGTTAGTAACAGACACAGGTAATGTCAAAATATGAAACTTAAGAGAATTCTGAAGACCTTTTCTGCAAGACCTTAGATGCCCAAGGTGCAAGGATGGATCACCATGCTAATCCCAAGTGGAATCTAAATCAAACATTAGAATTCTGCCCCGCATGTTCAGCATTTTATGAGACATACAAATTATGGAAAAGCTAATAGGGTACTGTTTTCAAAATGAGCTTGTGCTAAGACAGTACTAGGTTTAGTACTCTTGACTAGATTGTTTTTACTTTCTCTACCTACAGTCCTCTAATTTGACTGGTATATAATGACATAATGCTATAGCTAAATTGTCTTTTGTAGATGGGGCAAAGGTGAAGGAAAAATCTAACTCATCAGAGCATTCATTGAAACTGTCTCCATCAATCAGGACATTCAATGGATYAGAACCCCTGACCACACCAGACACATATTTGCTAAATATAGCTTTGCATCAGCAAACATTTAAGCTCAGAATAGTTCACAGAGCTCTCATCTTACCCTTGGACAGTGATTCTCCTAAGACCATTTTCCATGGCAGGCCAAAGCAGGGCAAGGGGCACTTCATGTGCTCTCTCAATGGCCATTGTTAAAGAGATTGGCCAAGGTTAAGGGAATCTAATGATCCATGGCAAAAATGTTCATCCCCATCTCTTCACAATGAGAACATAAAATTAACCATGTATCACATTTCACATGTTGTAAGTAATTTGTAGAATGGCCTGTTGGTCCTTGAACCACATCCCATATTACTCAGCCATCTAAGTCCAGCTTCCCTGAATCTGTTGCTTCTCTGAATCAGATGTGGCCAAGTTCTATAAATAGAGAGCAAGCAAATTGGTTCTGTCAATCTTCTCATGCTCTGGCAGGGTAGCATATTTTTAAATTATAAAAATACCTTATGTCTTCATCACTCTAAAATTATTACATAACACATGATTTTCTTGGGGAAAAGAAAA